ATTCTTCAGTTCTCTCAGACTCAGAACCTTAACTTTATTTATGTTTCTGGGTTGCTTGCCAAAAGCAGTCAGCATATTAAGCACGCCTCTCTGCAAAAGCACCTCACACCTCACAGCCAGGTGAGTCAGCAGAGCTCGGCAGCTCTGGGTGACATACTCAGCTCTGATATGGAGTAACACCACTGATCTGCTGAGTATTGCACCTGCAAATGAAATAGAAGAAATGAATCTTCTTTGTTTCACAAACTGAAGCCAAAGGCGAAAGAAGATGATAACAATACAGTATGCTGAAGCTTTTTGTTTTAAAGAGACAGAAAAGGGAATGAATGCTGAGAGAGAGGAAGTACTCTAAACATCAAATGAACTTTTATGTTATTTTTGGCTCTGCTAGCACAAACCGATCCCAGAAGCTAATACCAGCTCCTGTACAGCCTGTAATACCAGTTATTCAGTCCTGGATTACCGCTGATTCTGCATAGAGTGCAATGAGCTTGCTGTAAGTTCTTGCTGTGTCTTTGTGTGTTGTGCTCCAACTGTTCTATTGGAGTCATTATCTTTATTAGTTCTAACATTTCCTAAACATTTTCACTGCCTCATCTATTTTACGACTTTTGCAGTGCATATAGTCTGTTATGATTAGTAAAGTAGAGGTATTTAGAGAAGTATTTATGGATTAAATTCTACAAAATTTTCAAGAGGATATTTCTAATAGTGCTTGTTTATTGCATGTGAAATACTAGCCACAACAACAAAACCAAGAACAGTAGTAAGCACCAGCTCCAGCTGCCTTGTGCTTATGTTTCTTATTAAAACTCTGATAAATCTTTGCTGAATTTCAGTCTGAATAAGTGAATCTGAAGGCACTCACACCCACTGAAAACAATGGAGCCAGTCATTAACTCCATTTCAGGATGTGCCTTACGTTGTATTAACACACCTCCTAGTACTTTTCAGTCCCAGTGTGGAACAGCAGGTGCTGTTCCATGAATCATGAATTATACCCAATTACATTTGTTTTTCGGTTGTGTAGTATTGTTCACTGAGGATTAAAATGAGAGTAAGTACAGATGAAGCCTTAACAGACAATAATTTCACCTTAGGAAAAATGGCTCATGTCAGAAGTAGCTTCACCAAAACCCATATCACTGATCTCGATTGTCCTGTAATATAACCTACATATTTCCAAAAAAAAAACCAGTCATTTTATATTTATTTACTACTGTTTCATGCAATGAGTTCATAACAAGTTAGGCAGTTCCTGTTCAAACTGTGGCTGTGGGAGAATTACTTCTCTGATACATATTCTAATCACCTTCGCACTACTTTTGGGAAAAAAAAAAAAAAGTCACATATTTGTAAATATTTGTACACATACATATTGAACACTTACTCCAATTACTTCATGCCCAGCACTGCTTAAAACAAACAAACAAACAAACAACAACAAAACAAAAACAACTACAATTTACTATTTCAGGAAAGATTAGCCATTGCAATGGTCATTATTTTTAATAGAAGAAAATGTTTCATCTGCAAAAGCACTGCATTGCCTTGTGTAGAAACACACCACCTTGTCTGGTGGATATCAGACAAATACTCCTTCAGCTCTAATTTTCTTTGTAGGTATATAATTGCTATCACTCACAGGTTTGAATGGATGCCTCACATTCATCAGATAATTTTGCTAATAATGATCAACACCACCAAAGCTCTTTAGTTCCCATATACTGTCGCTGTGTAGAAATATTACAGCTGAAATTTCTCTACTACAAGCTGAATCTTTTTCTTTAACTTGGTTGCGTGTAGTGCAGCTGTGATAAGGTCTACAGAATAAATAAAATTAGGAAGAGAATATGATACACAATTTAATTCAAAGTGAAGCAGTATTTGTAATCAGCTTCCCCTTCACTCAACAACTAAAAACCCTCAAATCTCACGCTAGTAGTTTTTCCAGTAGGCATTCAGAATCTGTTGTTGCCCTTCCTCCTGCGTCCCTCTCAGTTGTAGGCATCATAACTGTACCCTTCACATTTCAAATCTCTAATTGGTCCCATTAGCCGTCATCAGTGAGACATTTAATTTCCTCTTCTGAAGTTCATCAACATGTTGGAATTGTGTTTCATTTAATGTACGTCAAACCCCTACAAAGGTCCAGCTACTATGTTTCACATTTCTGTGTATTTTCCAGTGCAATATGTGTTGTAACATACTGCATGCTGAGAATTCTCAGGTTATAAAGAACACGACCAAAATCGTTGCTTAAAAGCTTTTGGTGATTGCTCATTCCTCTCAGTCCTAATGCGTCAGTGAAAACTTTGGAAGAAAATTACAATGCATAGAGATCTCAGAAAAATCACATTGTTTACTTGTTTGTTCACATATTTAATGTCGAAAATAATCTCACACTTTATTATTTCTATTGAAGCAAGAAATTTCTCATACTGTGCAGAAAAAGGAAAGGTAGTGTTATAGGGATTAATAATGCATCTAATATGAATATCTCGGTAAAATTAAAGATGAAAGAAACAACAAAAACAAAATGAAAGCTGAGACATCAAAACAAAAAAGCATGGGCATCCTGAATACAGAGTGCCGTTTCACTTTTATTACAAATCTTTTGTGTCTAGGCATTGTAACAAAGAATTATAGAAATCCAAAGCACTTCGGAACCAAATTTGTGCACCCATTTATGAATAGATATGTATGTAGTTCAAGAAGTTTATCAAATATATAGTCATTACCAATAATTTATTGGTGAAGGAATGTAGTAGCATAATGCAATAGTGTGGTTCCCTGATGCTCCATTTTTCAAGTCCTTATATTCATAGCATATAATTCTGCAAAATATTAATGATTTTGGATGACTTTTTTTTCTTATGACAGATGCCTGCCTGAGGCTGTTTCTTTGGTGGGCAACAATCAATCAAACAACTGAACCATTCTAGGGAATTGAATTAGGAAGAAATTAACATAAAAATATTCACAACCTCGTTTTATAAAGTTGAACCATGCTTTGAAGCTCAAATCTCATGTTTGAAATGAGGGTGTTTTTTCTAACATCTTTTTAAAATTTGAAGAAATTTGAACAGATCTAAACATTGGGGTGTGAGGGGAGAACTTATGTTTGCATTCTCAGAAAAAAAAAAAAAAAAAAAGGCTTTGCTAGAGCCTCATTTGGCCTAACATAGTTCTTAGTGTGGTACAAAGAACTGAAAGAACTGTATACGTTCTAGGCCTGAAACCAACTGAGGATGCTACACATTATCTGACTGTATTGTCTAAAGGAGATGGACCAAGATGATAAACAGATAATAAACTTTCGCCAAAATTTCCTTTGTGGTTAATGAATATTGTATTGGCAGAAGGGATATCAGGGAGATAAGTGTCAAAAGCATCCACTAAACATAATCACTTAGTTGGAAATACTAACCCCCTTCTTTATTTCTGGACAAGTCTCACCCACAGAAAACTAATTTTTAGGGGACAGTGAGAGACCACTGTTGGTAATGAAATGACACATTATTAGTAATAATAACTACTAAGAAATACTGCAGCACTCAGTGTTCTTGATGACCTAACCATCTCTTTCGGTCTGGAGAAAAAGGAACTCAGCAACTGAATAAATGAATGTTGATGGATGAGGATAATCTGGCAATGAAGGAATAGGAAAAGTTTAGTCTTGCCTCAGTCTTACCTGCATGGTTTAGACAGAAAAACGGTAAGGTGGCAACAGACAAATACTGCTTAGAAAAACATGGGTTATTTAGCCTGTAGAACCTGAAGAGATACCCAGCACTGTAGAAGGATTGGGTTAAAAATCATGATGATGACAGATGAAACATATATTCTAAAATGGTAAGAAAGACAATTTGAAGAACTGTCAGGTGGTCAAAGTAAGCACCATCCCTGGTAAGATGGAGTATGTATATCCTGCTGGCATCCTTTTATGAGTACAAACATGACAAGTAAGCAATCAGGAACATTCAGCACAGATCTACAAAGGTAAATGATATCTGACTAATATAATTGCCTTCTGTGAAGGAATGACTGACTGAAAATAAAGGATAACAGTTCCTGTAATTTTCACTTTAGTGAGGCATTTGGCAGTGTATTTCACATTATCATTTGGAGACTGAGGATATGTGGTGGGATAAATCATTTTGTAACTGGACTGAAAAGTGGCTTCACCACTGGGTTTCAACACAATATTCAACTGCTTGAAGTCGTAAGACTGGTATAGAATGAAGTACCCCAGGGTTGGATAGCAGAGTTGGTGTAGTTCAGTATCTTCTCTTGGATGATGAGACAGAACACTCCCTCAGAACACTTGAGAAGGAAGTGTTCAACACACCAGATGATCCAGATTCAGCACTGGGACCTTGAGAAATCTGAATCCTGTGCCAACAGAATCTTTGTGAAGTTCAAGAAGAAATGTTAAATTCTGCATGTGAGGTGGAATACCCTCACAAGTATGGCTGAGCAGTATCTTCTTTAAAGTGTTTGGGTGTTTCAAGCTGAATATGAGCAGAAGTGAATTTGAGATAAATTGCATATTGAGCTACATTTGTGGAATGAGTCCAGTACTTTGTGAGTCACACCACACATTATTGACAAGGCTGCAATTGGAGCACTACATCCAATTTTGGGCTCTACAGCTCAATGTGAGTGTGAGGAAAATAGAAAGGGTCCATCAGATAGCAAATGATGTTTAGGGACTTAGAGCATGTGGCCCATAAAAAATGGAGGAGCTTGCATCTATACAGTATGGCAAAGAGAAGGATAAGGGATAATCTAAAAGTGCCTTTACAAAGATGACAGAGTTAAACTCTTCACTTTAGTGGCAGACTCGTAGAATCATGGAATCATAGATTCACAGAATCATAGAATGGCTTGGGTTGGAAGGGACCCCAACACCCATGTCAGCTTTCAAACTCTGCCACAGACAGGGCCACCATCCTCCAGATCTGTACTAAACCAGGTTGCCCAGGGCCCCATCCAACCTGCTTTTGAACACCTCCAGGGACGAAGCATCCACAGCCTCTCTGGGCAGTCTGTTCAAGCACCTCAGTACTATCTCTGTAACAACAACAGACAACAAGAAGCAGCTGCAGCAAACTGAGACTTTGAAAATTCAAACAGGACCATAATAAAAGCTTTCTCATTATGCAAGTAACCTAAGACTGAAACAGACTGAGAAGTAGTGAAATATCTATCTTTCAAGGTTTACAAGGCACAGTCAGAAAAAAACACACTGATGATAATCTCATTTTACATAGCAGATAGACTAGATTGACTTCCAGGTATCCCTACATATCCCATTTTTTAAAAGCTTTCACACTAATTATGTTGAAATCTCTATTTTTCATGCCATTTCCACAAATGAATTTTACCTAGGGGAAGATTCAATGAATTCCTAGTACTGGACATCAGCTATGGCAAGCAAATTGCTCCTCTATAGAGGGAACATCTACTACTTATGATTACCCAAATGCTCTCCACGGAGTTGAACTTGTTTTCAGGATCTTTCAGTTTATATAGATGAACTGCTCTGTGAACAAGAGATTTTGTGATATAGTGGTTTTTTCAGGAGGAAATAACTGGTGGGTGTAATCACTGGGGCAAAGAAGCAAGGTGTAGTGATTTACAAGGTTCTCAGAGATTCCAAAATTTTGAGGTTGAAAACAGGGATTTAGAAAATAACCTGTTTCACTAGAAAAGCTGTAGTTGGATTACAATATAAAAGTGAATCAACAGTGCCACACCTTTGGAAAGAGGTATACACCTTAATTAAATATGACACCACATTGAAAGATATAGAATAGGCAAGGAGACAGTAAAGAGTTCTCCTGCTCCCTCCTGCTCTGTTAAAGTCTCAGTTGGATTTCTCTTTTCCAATTTTCGGTACTGCAGTGTGTGAAACATATAAACTTGAAGAGAGCTCAGTAGAATATTAAAAACTGGGTTCTAGAAAACAAAACGGGACTCAAGACTAAATGAATTAGGACTCTTTAGCTCAAATAAATAAAAATGAAAAATAATAATAATTTTTTAAAAGGGGGGATTTTATTTAGGTATATAAAAAGCTGCACGTACCAAATAAATAAATAAATAAATAAATAAATAAACAAACAAACAAATAAATAAATAAATATTCTCCATACCTATTAAATAAAAGAACTGATGAATTTTAAATGTAACGAAGACTGAGATTGGAATCAGAGTATTAGAAAATGTTATTGTAAGTAAAAGTAAAAGCAATATGATGAGAATAGTTAAACGCTAGAATAAAATTTCCAGAAGATTGTGGAATCATATATGTGAACTATGAGCATGCAGAGATGTTGTTCAGGAAGGAGAAGATTAGATAATGACTGTATCTTTTTATTTTTTTGTTTTGGCTAAATAGTAAACCATTGAGTTGCCTGTTCTGTACAATACATTCAGAGTATTTTACGGTGCACTTAATACTACACTTATTTTATATTGTAAATATTGCATTATTATGTGAATTATTTTCTAATAGTTAATTCTAATAATTTTATACTAAGAAAAGATGTTGTTATATTTCTCCTTTGAATTTGTTTGAGTTCTTTCTCTTCCATCTGTCTTGTCTCATGGACTTAAAGTAACTGTATCTTAGAACCATGAAAATTATCATTATTTTTCTTGCACTGATAACTTCATAAATGATTTTGAGTCACATGCACCCAAAACATTTTTATAGCTGAGGTCTTTTTGACAAGTTTCTGCTCATGAGGAAAAGTACATATAATAAAACATTTAAGACGAAAAAAAGTGATTTCAGTTCATGGATACTTTTCAAAAAATTTTTCTCCAATCAATAGACTTAAGGAAACAGTTATCGCCCATGAGCTATTTCTGAATGGTAAAAAATAGATATATTTAAAAGGAAATTAAAAAGGAAGCAATATGCTAAATAAATTATTATTTCAGAATCATGAGCACAATTAAGGCTGTAATGAACATATGCGACTCGCACCATTTTCAGTTTAATTTACTACAGTTGGTTCTTTGCAGAGTCTTTTCCTTTTATCAATTTAATTTATTTCTGCAATTCTCAACAAATCACACTGTAAGTTAATAGTATTGGAGGGAGGGAACGGGGAAGAAAGTGGGGAGAGGCTGTCAAAGCCCAGTTCAGGTGTTTTTAGCATACAAGGAATTGTCTATCTAATATTTTGGAACACACTATTTCACGTGTCCAGACAATGTAAGATTGTAGTCCTAGTCCAAGCTCACATGCTGCTGTCAAGATGGCTTAATAGAACAACATTTTTATTTTTTTTTCTTTTGGCAAATACGCTGTGTACCAAGAAATATATTACTCACTTATAAAAAAATATTTTTCAAATCCAAGTTAAATTGAATGAAAATTCAAAATCAAAAAGATGTTCCACATTTTTGAAAATTCTGAATGTTTCATTTTGATATCAGCATATAGTGTTTTTTTTAATGTGGAAGAAAACCACTTTTGGAAGACAGAGGAAAAAGTCACTGCCTACCTGTACTTCATACACAAAAGTGCATGATTAAAAGCCCGCTCTCTTAACAGAGCATAAACTTTTCTCTCAATATAAAATAATCTTTTTTCATAGGTTATTTTGCTTTGTTTGCCTTTTTGTTTCAACTGACATGTAATGTTTTAGAGACATCGCAATTCAAAAGTGGTATTTCTTGACTGAGCTGAATCACTGGCTATGTCAGGGCTGTGTAGCTGCAAACTTCATCACGTCCCAGACACTGGCTTACTATGTCAGGTGAAAACCTCCATATAAGTTGGTCAGAGCAAAACAATCACTCTGGGAGTCAGAATCTACAAAGGTCTCTTATCTTTAGCAGTTCTCCTGTACAGGGCAAATACAACCCAAGAGCTGCATGGGAATTCGCACCTGGCATTTCATCCATATTTTGTATTATTGAGCATTTGAATCTAATGACATTCAAAATAATGTAATTCTGTCACTGACCATCTAGGGAGTTTGTAAGTGAAATGAAATGAGCATGTATCATAGAATCATAGAATCATAGAATCATAGAATCATAGAATCATAGAATCATAGAATCATAGAATCATAGAATCATAGAATCATAGAATGGCCTGGGTTGAAAAGAACCACAATGATCATCTGGTTTCAACCCCCTGCTGTGTGCAGGGTCGCCAACCACCAGACCAGGCTGCCCAGAGCCACATCCAGCCTGGTCTTGAATGCCTCCAGGGATGGGGCATCCACAACCTTCTTGGGCAACCTGTTCCAGTGCGTCACCACCCTCTGTGTGAAAAACTTCCTTCTAATATCTAACCTAAATCTCAACTGTCTTAGTTTAAAACTATTCCCTCTTGTCTTATCACTATGAACTCATGTGAACACTTGTTAAGTAATATGTAAGTAATATCATTTAAATTCATTTCTTATAGTATCTCCTTATCCCATGTTTGTTGCACTTCACTTACATGTTCCCTGCAGAGATGTATTAACATCACTGTTTCATTTTAATGGTGTTACAACATCTCCCCAGACTTGCCCTGAGATTGTAGCACTACTGTCTTCTGTATCCTACATTACTATCTCACATTGCCACAGATTTTTGTTTTTTTCATTTCTAGAAAGGGACAATTCTCCCTATATTTCTTAGCACCTTGATTCCAAGTCTTTTACTACGAATATGTGTTGCATTAAAGTAACTAAAATTTCCTGAATCTAAGCAACACAGCAGAATCAAGTGAATTGTGATAAATCCTAGGGAAATCCCTGGAGCTCTGAGCTGTGCTCTGTCGCATTGACCATCCTCCACAGGTCACAGCACCCAACCTCCTTGTTGTAAAACACTGCTGCCAGAAAATGGTAATGATCTTGACCACCCTCTTTGTAACTAGGAGTCAAATCAGAAACCAGTTCTCAGGAAAGTACGATCCAGAGTTTTTTCTGTTTCGTAGGAAAGAAAGAGGCACCTACTACATGGGGAACATTCTCATCTCAAGGCTATTTCCATTTTTACCTCAAGTAGTCTTTGAACTACTGAAACAGAAATAGGAACCCCAGTTTCCTTGCCTTAAGGTGAGTCCTCTAATCACTTAGTTAAAAGCTTTGTTCGTGCTTCCTTGAATTATTTTCTCACCAGAAAGGTTACAACTTGATGACTGGAGAATAGCCAGATAGTCTCTAGCATGTCTAATGAGTAGATACACTTCAAGTAGATGACACAGAATTAAATCTGTGGCTACATAAAGAACTGAACCCAGATTTTTCAAATTTAAGATGAATAACAGTAGGATATGTTACAAAGTTTGACAATTGCTTTTTAAAATAGAAGAGAGCTTTCTTTTCTTTCTCTTTAAGTAATGATTGAAAGCACCAACCTGGCCCTCCGTGACATAGCCAGGGACACTTAGAGGGACTTTGTAGTACAGATGAGAAGAAAATAAACAGGTACAAAGAGAGTCCTGTCTCAAATCACAATGTTATTTTTCTTGTAGTACATTTTATTCTCCTCCAAAATTGCATTCATTTCTGCTCTCTAAAAATAAAAAATACCAAACTATAAAAATGTTAAGATAAAATACTTTTACACCTTATGCATCCTACCCCAAAAATTCAAGTAATGTTGCATCTTCTAAACAAAGGGATAAATATTGATGTTGCATGGCTTGTTACTTCCATTACTACTGAAGAAACAACACAGCTAAACACAATGAGCTGTAGTCTATAATCATTTATGCATTGTACATAAAATCATTGGTTAAAGTTTAGTGACACACATCTCTGAAAATTTTTGACAAGTTCATATGGATCACAAAAAGAAGTACAAAGATAATAAGTTTAACTTGCAAGTCTAATCAGGTCAGCCAGCTTTTTAGCTGTGAGAATGATGAATATGAAGAGCCACTACTCACATTTCAGTCCTAAGGATAAGTTTAGAGGCTGGCAAAACGTTTGCAAATTTTTACTGGGAATAGTAATGAATTTACAAGCCTGGGTTGCTTAAATTCATTTTTGTTGAGCAGAAATCTATTTTTAGAAGCACCACTGTGGAGTCTCAATGGTTTTATTCACAAC